ATAACTTTTTGGGTACTATTCAGGATTTTACAAGCATGTTTACTCTGCACTGTGCAAAACATAGGCAACCACTATAATATAATCATTTGAAATATGTAAAGTTATTTTGACTAAATATTTTTCGTGATGTATTGTCTTGTAAAACAAGAAAGAGAAAATTTGGTTATTCTTCTTCTCATTAGTCATTTAATTTATGCTTAATTCATCATCGGGTTCTGCCTGAAGAGGAACTAGGATATTAATGAGTTTCTAAAAGTTCTTATTTTGCGCATGTAGCTGTGCTGATTTTGTTAATGTCTTTTAACCTTGCATTTTTCTTAAGATCCTCATTCTTTGTAACACTTAAGTGGAAGGATACCTGTCTTCCTGTTTTAATTTTATATATAGTTGTTAATCATAAGTTGTAGTGTGGATTTAGAGTAATTTTACTTCTTAATCTCTTCAAAACTGTTTACATTTAATCATGTTTAAGAAGTGACTTTAATATCAAGCTGACAGTTGAACTACTTCTAAGAGTGTGAGCTTGAATCTGTAGTAATAAATTATGATCTATCTGAGTAACTTGGTTGCTGAAATCCGAGTTCAATTCAACATTGATATATCAACTTCTTTACCTCAGATCTGAGTACGAATTAAGATACATATGGCGAGAATGGTTATTACATATTTCCGTCATCTAAATGTAATGCATTTATTTTTTAATAAATGTGAACAAAAGTTTTTAATGTTGGTCTGTACCGGACATTAAATACAAGGTTAGAATCCTATAGTGAAGGTTTTAGTGAAAGGTTAACATGGTTTTTTTACTTATTAGAATTTTTATAAATGCTTTAGGCTGTCTTTTGGATAATATTTTATTCTGTACTGAGTTTAGACTTATAACTTTTAGTAATGTGTTTTAAGCTTCGAAGGTTGAGAACATTGACATCTACATGTTGGTAGATGTTAACCATATATCAACGATTTGTTTACAAAGGAACTTCCTAATTTCCTGTAGCCTTTCCATTTATAGTTAAAAGTTCTTGTAGTTTTAAGGTCGTGTGCAAAATTGCATCCTTCGTTTGGATTATACTACTAATATCGCATAAGTAATTATTATTAAGCGAGAATTACCATGGGTTGTGTTTGATATAATCCAACTCGTTCTCTCCCAAAAAATAAAGGTAAACTCAGCTAATAATTTTCTTTCCAAAAAAGCTTGGGTTTGAATCTCCGGCACATTAAAGTCGAGTAAGGAAAGTAGTTTTATAAAATGTGAGTTCAACTATATGTTTACATTTTAAATGTACTTAAGAGGTTTCCGCATCTTTTAATCTTGATATGGGAGGATCTCCTATAAAATAATGGAAAATGTATATCTGTATATTTATTTTTATTATCTATTTTTTAATATCCATCTTAAAGAATGAAAAGATATATTGATATATAATAAATATATATCTCACTCTCCTTTTACATATTATATAGATTTTAATTTAATTTAATGGCATTATCTTGATGTTTAATTAATTGTGTTAATGTTAAATACATAATGCGGGACCTATAATGGATTCAATTCAAGTTGACCAAAGTTTGAATAACAATTTATTCAATTTGCACGTCTTGAGTTATATGTATTTTTAATATAATTTTAAATTAATTTAATGACATTATCTTGATGAGATGTAACTAATAGATATTATCTGAAAATATAAAATAATTAATCTCCTTATATTTGTGCTAAATAATTGTTCTCTTTACACTTGGCAATTGAAGAGACTTACACTTAACTTAGCTATCATTTAAGATAAACTTCTTTGCTTTTATAGATTACTAGTCTTTTGCATGACGTGCGTTGCACGTTAACTATGCTCGTTATATACTCAAGTTTTTATCTATATAATATTAAAGCATAAGTTTTGTTTAGATTAAAATAAATATAAATTGTTCATTTATATTACACTTTCTAGTACAAATTACTTACAATACTACTTCTTATGTACTTAATTCTATGTTTATATAATGAAGTGATCTCAGAATAAAACTCATCCCAATCCCTAAACTTAATCCTTTAGTCCCTAATTTATAAATGCATATTTTAAAAATTCTAATAAGTACCCAAAAAGAAAATTAAGCCAATCACTTAATCCCCAACCCCCTTACTTTCAACCCCAAATCAATATTTATATACAACTATAATTAAAAATAATAATAAATTATTTTTTATTGTCATGTAAAATAAAAAAAAAAATGAGAAGATAATAGTCTTATGAGTTTAAAATTTTAATATTTTTAACTAATTTTCAAATTGTAACCAAATAATGGAAAATATTTTTCAAGGAAAATGTGAACACATTTGATAGAGAAGTTCTTGAGAGAAGGTTGATCGACAAAGAAAATCCTGACAGCTGTAGAAATACCACAATTGGATCGTGATCGTTCACTCAATGAAAAAGAGACATCGGAGATTTTATTAAAAACATATGAAGATAGATCATATTAAAAGGACGAGATTGTAAGGCCTAAAGAGACAGTTCGAGTTAAGGGATCAAGGGAGGGATGAAAATATTCATGACTGTTTTTCATGCGTTGAAAAAATAGTCAACAAGATAAAAAATGGTAAAAAACTTTAGGGATTGAATTATTGAGTATTAAAAATATTTATGGTTCATATTACCTAGAATCCGAAAGGGGATATATATATTAACACAAACAAAGAAAAAGGGAAACAGTGAATCAATTTTTTGGTTGCTAAATCACCAAAAATCAGTTGCTAAATATAAAAAGGCAACAGAATGGTATTGAAAAAATTCGGTCACATTAAATCTTGTCATTAACATATTAGCGACTAAAGTCACATCAGTATCTTTTCTTCTATTTAAATTGAGAAAAATACTGAATGTTTAGTTAAGTTTCACTATCTAAGATTATCGATCCTATCAGTTTCTTCTCATCCATTCAGACGTCAAAGATACTGAAACTAGTATTTTCATTTATTATAATTTCTTATATTTAGAATTAATTTCTTAAGTGTATTTCACAAAATTTCATAATTTCATCATAAAGATTTTGAAAGAGAGGCAGCATCTCTTTTAAATACTAATAAACACATAAACCAAAAAGGACTTCCTGTAAGTCAAAACCATTCATCCACAACAATCATGGCCACTATTAAGTTTCCACATAACACCTTCTATCCACAATATTTCACTTCAATAATATGTATAAATGGATTCATATAAATTTATTAAAAATAACTCAAAGTATATTTATCTCTGTCAAACATTTCTCAAAATCACAAAATTCATTTATACATTGCAAATTTTAATAACTTATGTACTCAAATAACAATCATTATAATTTTTTTTTATTTTCTAATATATTAATAATCAATATGTTTTGGGATTACTAAACTAATTTCGTATTTCTAACTTATTTCAGATTTCTAGTTTGTAGCATTTAAATCTAACTAGTCTTTTTTATGACGTACGTTGTATGTTGTCTATGCTCGTTATATACTCATTTTTTATATTTTTTTTATCCATATAATATTAAAGCATAAGTTTTTGTTTAGATTAAAATAAAAGCAAGTGGTTAATTATATTTTACCGCACAAGCTACTTATAATGCTACTTCTTATGTACTTAATTCTATTTTTATATAATGAAGTGATCTCAAAATCAAGTTCAACCCAATCCCGAGATCTAATCCTTCAATCCCTAATTTACTTGCGCCATGCATTAGAGAAAAGACTATATGCACATATACAAATTCTTGAAACCCCAAAAAGTGACCTAAAATAAAAATATATGGTTCTAGTTTTTTTTCAGTTTCCTAAACACTATTTTCTTTTAAATCAAAAAAAGTTAGGATATAAAAGAAAAAATATCTAGAAAATTAAAAATGTTTAACTATCAAGAGGTCATCTATTTATTGAAAGGAATATATAAATGTCTTACTAAATTAAAGTGATAGTAGTCGCAAATTATTCAGTAATGAAAAAAATCTAAAATGACTCTTGGGACAGAAGATGAACTTGGATAAATCTGAAATTTTCTTCACTCCAAATTTAGCCATGGTGAGACAAGAAGAGATCAGGAATTGATTAGTTTGTTAGATGTTTAGATACAACTATATTTATATACAAATGACATGGCATGAGCAGTTACTTCTCATAGCCAATATAAATTATAAATAACACAGTGTATTACATTGAGATCTTATTAATCAATAACACACATATTTTTCATCTTCTTCTTTCTCCAATTAAACGCTAAATACCAGATTCTGAACAGTACGTTTGATCGATAGATTTATTTCTCGAGAGGATTAAAAGGAATCATTCACTTTGAAATTTAAAAATTCAAAAATAAGTAAAAAAACATATATTTTATGGTTTGCTTTGAGAATCGAATTATAATAAATAAGAGAAAAAAGAAAAAAAAAAGTGGGATGATACGGGGAAAAAAGTATTATTTAACAAATAATGATTTTTTTCCAAAACTTAGTGGGGCACTTGTTTTTACTCAAAGTAATTTGGCTATACAATTACTACTGTGATTTGAACTCTAATCCTTTTATTTGATAGAGAAGTAAGCATGTGGTCAATATTTAGTAATTGTCAATTCATCATTCCTTATAGTTTACTTGTGTGTCCATATATCCAATACAAGGAGAAATAGGTGAAAGCTTTGTGTTATTGCAATAAAGAAAGTGTAATCTTTAAGAATTATATTTATTCTAAATATTGAAACCTTTCAACTATAGCTTACTTGAGCCAATTCAAGGCTCTAGTTAAATTTTTGGAAATGAGAATCAATGCAAAATCAACAAATTTTGCTTTTTGGGTCAAGAAATGTACTAATTAAATTGATATACATATATAGGAAACAAAATCCAATTTGTCTTTCCTATAGAGATTATAAAAAAGTCACTTTTCAACTTGGCTCTTTACTTTATATATCTAGAATATAGAGCAACCATGCATGAATATATGTAAAGATAGCTACCCATACATCCATAGCATGTCCAACAAGAAATGAATTGTGACCCCAAAAATCATAGCATTAGAAGAACAAACCTTCCACTGAATCACAGCCCTTGCAAGTCATGTCACACTAGAAATTCCCATTTCATTTCTAGCAGTCTCCTCCACTTATAAATACTACACACAAGTTTCTTGACGATATATATTTGTATACCTTCATAATATATACAAAGATTTGAAGAGGTTTTTTTTTTTAAATTTGTTGAAAATATTATTTCATATTTGATTTTATGATGATAATGATGATATGTAAGTTGATGGATGGAGTGAAGCCAGTTTTGGTAATGGTGGTGGTTCAGGTGGCATATGCTGGTGTTAATGTTTTATACAAACTTGCAGCAAGTGATGGAATGAGCTTGAGGATCATTATCGCCTATAGATTCATTTTTGCTACTGCTTTAATGGTTCCTCTTGCTCTTTTCTTTGAGAGGTAATCTCCTTTTTCTTTTTCCTGTTTTGCTTTCTAATTTCTCTTGACAAAATAGTATATTGTACATCGATCATAACTTACAATCATATGGATTTAAATCTAAAAGTTAGATTTATGCATACACTGAATGGATTTAATAATTATTAGTAAAAAATGAAATTAATTTAATCTAGTCGTTGATTAATATTTTAACTAGTAGTCTCAGATTTCAAAACACTTCTCTTTATGTTCTTGGGTAAAGAAATCGTTATTGCTCCTGTTGCTTCTTTTTGCAAGCTCAGGAACTTCCAAAAACAGGAAAAAGAAACGAATAAAATAGAAACCAAAAAAAGGGAACCCAAAATGTCAAAATGAAGTAGAGATATTCCCAGACTTGTTTGGATACTAATAGTGCTTGTTTTTCCGTTGGATTTTACAGGAAGAACAGGCCTAAACTTACATGGACAGTGCTCTTTCAAGCATTTCTTTGTGGATTATTCGGGTACACCACTAGTTTCATTTTACTGTTGAAAAAGTAAGAATAAACATTTCCTTATTTGTGCTGACATATTGATGATGTAGGCAATTATTAGCACCATGATTTTTTTTTTCCCCACAAACATTCCTGTACCCTTTTAGGATGTGATTAATCTCAAGGTTAATTACTTTATTTTCTTATAAGAGTTTTGCCATGGATTGAATTTACTATCCTTTCTTATAAGTGTTTTGTCATGGATTGAATGCTGACTTTATAAAGATCATCCGCTGAACTTGTAATTGGCACATGTCTTTATTACTGGAATGTTACTGTATATTTATAATAGTCTCAATAAAGACTTTTGATTATACAAGTTGTATGCATCAAATGATATTACTGCTAGTTTTTATTACCATTTTAAGTTTTTGGATTACAGCGATACTAATAGCTTGTTCTTAAAAGGAAACTAGTAATTTTCTGTAATGATGCTTTGTCCATGATTAATGTATCCATAAACTTGAATTGATTATATTAATGAAAGTGGAGTTCAATTTAAGCAAATTTTTTAAGTTTTCTCTTATTTTAATTAGTATAAATGCAGGGGATCATTGTCTCAAAATATGTACTTGAAGAGTTTGGTCTTAACATCTGCAACCTTTGCTTCTGCCATGTTTAATCTCGTACCTGCAGTTACTTTCATCTTAGCCATCTCATTTGGGTAAATAATACTTGATTAACTAATTTCTTTCTCTAATATATTTTTTAGCCGTAACCTGCTCTTTTATATGTTGGGAAATTTTTCAGGTTGGAGAAGATGGGAATAAGAAGTGTAGGAGGGAAAGCAAAAGTTGTAGGAACAGTAATGGGTATTAGTGGGGCAATGTTGCTTACCTTTTATAAGGGAGCAGAAATAAAAATATGGAAAACACGTATTGATCTTTTAAAGCATTATCAATCTAACGGTCATGGAGTATTCCACTTGACTTCCTCTCATTCTAATCATGCATTGGGCTGTTTGTTGGCTGTGGGAAATTGCTTCCTTTATGCGCTGTGGTTAATTATTCAGGTGGTTTCTGAAAATATCTTTGAATTTTATTGTTATGATTATTTTCTTTTGTATCAGTAATTTTTGATAATCATCTTCAGGCTAAAATGAGCACGACATATCCATGTCCATACTCAAGCACAGCATTGATGTGTTTGATGGCATCAATCCAAGCATCTGTTTATGCTCTTTGCATGGAGAAAGATTGGAGTCAATGGAAATTAGGTTGGAATATAAGGTTGCTCACAGCTGCTTACGCGGTATGTATCTTACCTTCTTTTCTTTTCTTCTTTTGGGTTTGAATTATTAATATATTACTATTAATATTAAGGCCTAATGAAAAAAAAAAACCCAAATTTTGATATTTTTATCAATTCTAGCTAATTTTTTAATTTTATCGATCAATAATGTGAATTTAATTTTTCATATTAAATCTAACATCCATCTGCATTCCGTCAAATTATTATTGATATGACAGTAAAATATGATATGTAGGTCTCATGAATTCAGTGCTAAAACACCGGTTCACGTGGAATTAAAAATTATTTAATTTTTATTTAATTTCAAAAATAATTATTTTAAAAATATTTAATATAAAAATTATTTAATTTTCTGTAATTAAAAATTTTAAAATATTATTATTTATTTAATTTTCAAAATTAAAATTATTATAAAATTTTATTTATAATTAAAATTTCTAAATTTAAAAAACACAAGCTTTATAAAATATAAAAGCTGAAATTTGATTTAAGATTTTTGGTCAAAATTGCAAAAATCAAATTGAACCAATCTGAAATGTAAACATCGAAACACTCATGGTAGAAAAAAAATTAGAATTTCAATATTCTTTATTTTGAAAATTTGTAGGTTATTGAATTTTTTTTTAGAAGAATTTACATTTATAGATTTGTAAAATAATAATTTTTAGTTATTTTATATTTTTAAGGTTTTTAAGTACATAAATTAATAATTCTTTTATTCCATGCATATCGATTTAATCCTGACCAGATATCTCATGGAACCCACAAATCAAATTTAACTGCCATGTCAGCACTAATTTAACTGAAGGCAGATAGAGGCTAGATTTAATTAAAAAAAAAATTTCAGGGTATTGACTGATAAAATTATAAAAATTGACTTGAATTGATAAAAAGATTAAAAATCAAGATTTTTTTTTTTTACCATTTGGTCTAATATTAATATCAAAACATAAAATATACGTGGTTACATTAACTTCAGAATAATATATTTAGTCACTCGAAGAATTAAAAATATCTTAATTAGGAAGTAAAATATATTATTCTTAAACTAATAACAATGACATTATAAATCATTGACTGTCTAATATTTTGAGGAGATAAAATATCTAAACTATGACTAGTTTTATTACCTTCAAATAAAATATTCTTAACGTATAAGAGATGAAATAAAATATTTACAAAATTGGAATTTTTGAAACTTATTTATTATAAAATGATTTTTGTCCCCTGAAATTATAGGGAATAGTAGTGGCTGGAATTATGATAACTCTGGTGATATGGTGTGTGCGCTTGAAGGGTCCTCTATTTGTCTCCATTTTTAGTCCTCTAACGCTTGTGGGCGTTGCTGTTGCGGGATCCATATGCCTTAACGAGAATCTACACCTTGGAAGGTATATTCCTTTTTTTTTTCTTTTTCTTTGTTAATTATATCTCACCATTAAAATTAAGAAATTGACAATGATAAAATTTTCAGAATAGTTTGGCCGACCATATAAATTCATTCCAGAATTTTGTTACTTTAATCTTGCAACTCTCTGATTTTTACTTTGACTCGTTAAACACTTAAATTTATTTTTGGATGATTGCAGCATATTAGGGGCATCATTGATAGTGTGTGGATTATATGTGGTGTTGTGGGGTAAAAATGCAGAGATAAAGAAAATGTCTCAACTTATTCCATTAAAATCAACCTCTACAGAAGCGAAAACAACAGAGTTGGTTATTTCTTCTCCCACAAATGACAATTGCAAGAATGGTTCCAATGTTCAAAATTGCAATTGTAATGATTTGTTAGAAAAAGAAGAAAAATAATTATCTTCTACGCATGGGCTTATATGAAGCTTTGGATCTTTATATATACTGTTTCTTTTCTTTATTTTGTGATTTGTATATATTAAATTATTAGCAAATTTTTCATCTCTTTTCCCCTTTATTAGTTAATGATAAACAACTAGAACTTAATTTCTGATAATTTAATACTCAAAAAAAAAAAAATTCTAATAATTTAATTAGCAAATTCTCGAATGTGCGCTGTACTTATTTATGCTTGTTGACTTTTATTCGATACAAAGTAAATGTAATATAATTTATATATATAATTTTTAATAGTATATTATTAAAATATCAAAGCATCCACAAGAAAAAAATATATATAATGTATGAAAATAAATTTAAAACAAACGAATTCTCAACGAGAATTAGCCTTGAACTTACCTCTTACATGGAATTATATTATGAATTTATATTAGAATGAATATTAAGCTATATAAAATTAATAATAATCATTCTTTAAGCACATTGATAATTTTGATATCTCTTTTCTTTGTTTTGCCTAAAGCCACAGTATAATTAATTAATAGTTCTTTTTTTTAGAAAAAAACTCTTTCAATTTATAATTGCTAATACATGTTATATCATAATTATATATATATAATATTATATATATTAAAGAGCTTTGGTTTCTATGTACATCAAATAATAGATCTCATAATATATTTCTTAATAAATAATAAAAAATTACATTTATTCCTTGTCAAATAATCATAACCACTCAAATTAAAGATTAATAAAATAAACAATAAAATATATTATATTCTTACAATATTTTAATAGGCACCTTATATAATATAATATAACCAATCAAAATCAAATTACTTTATTTTTTTTAACCAATAAAATTAAAATCCTTAGAAATATTATATTCTTACTATATTATAATTTTTTATATATCCAATTAAATTTAGATTTAAATAGGAAATTAATATAATATATTCTTACTATATTATAATTTTTTATATATCCAATTAAATTTAGATTTAAATAGGAAATTAATATAACCAATCAAAATTAAATTATTTTTATTTTTCAACCAATAAAATTAAAATGCTTAAAAATATTGTATTCTTACCGTATTTAATATATACCTTATTTAGTATATAATATAATTTCTTAATTTATCCAATATAATTATATTTAAATAGAAAATTAGTATGATTAATCAAAATTAAATTATCTTTATTTGGTCAACCAATAAAATTAAAATTCTTAATGATATTTTTGTCGATCTATAAACTTAGCAGTTGCATTTTTGACAATACTAATGGTCCCTTCCCATTTGTACTTTTGTATATAATTATAGATGATAAACAACTAGAACTTAATTTCTAATAATTTGATACAAGATGTTTTTTTTTTTATTATTTATTTATTTTTCGGATGGACATAAGATATGTTTATGAATTTTTCTTATAAGGGTACGTTAATCATTTTCGAACATTTGTAATCTAAGTTCTAGGTGTGGTTTAAGTGGTTTTAACATTAAATTAATGTATGAAGTTTTTTGGAAGAATTCTGTAAGGACGCTTGCAATCCAAGTTCATTGATTAATATGTTAAATTTAGAGTTTCAATTGGAAGCAAATTGGACACACCTTATAACGATCTTAAAAGTAGTTTGGTAATTTGGGATGCTCAAATGTTGAGGCTGAAAGGGAAAGTTTGCATTTGATAAGTTGTAGCTAGGTAGTCCTTGGTTCCAATTGTACCGATGTTAGAGCTGCAGGTCCGATTGGATCGGGTTTTTTGATTTAAAGTATACTCAACTCGTATGTGCGGATCAATAATTTTTTTACCCAACTCAATCCATCAATTACATAAACCCTCAGCATTATGAATGAATTGGGTTGGATATAGGTCCAATATAAATCTGCAGGTCAAAATAAATGATAACTAATAAAAACAATTTTAAAGAAAATATAACTATTTACAAGGAAAAAACATTATTTAGAAAACCGGACTAAAATAGTCAGTTCAACCGATTTAATTAAGAACCGAACTGTGGTCCGATCCGAGTTACATAAGAAAATTGAAAGTCTAAAATTCGGCCTAAACCGGTAAAAAACAGTGAACCAGACCGGTTAAAAAATTGATTCATTCAAATTCTAGGCTTTGCTATAAGATGTGGGCCTTTTTAAAATTGGGCTACTGATTTTTTTGTTTTGGGGTCCTTTTATTCTAATTTCAAAGCATTGATATCCATAATCTATACTGTATATAAAAGTGAGAATGAGGAGTGAAATAATGAGATTGCAGATATTATTTTTGTGAAATTTAAGATATCTTAAAATAACCTTAGTCTTAACCAATTAAAAAATTTTAACCTAAAAATATATATAATACTTCTATAATTTGATTGAAATATATATAATACTTCTATAATTTGATTGAATTTTTTGTTGACTTTTTTTAATAGATAAATATATATAGATAATTAAGGATTTCAAAATTTTAAATTTTTACTATTTTTATCTTATTACATCTAATTACATTTTATTTCATCATATTATTATGTACATTATTAATAGTAATTTAATATCTTTTAATAATTTATTATTATTTATAGTTTATAATTTAGTTTCAACATTATTATTTTAAATAATATATGTAAATATGAGGAATTTGAGAACTTTTACATTTTTTTGAATTTATTTTAAATAAATATATCTAGATGATTCAAATTTTGATTTATAAAGGGTATGATTAATTTTTTTTAATTACAAATTGCACTATATTTTGATTGGCCAAAATTAAGATAAAAGATTATTATTTTTAAACATCTCAAAATTTATTAGTTATATTGATATCTTATATAATTCGAATCCTATTTCTATTAAAGAATATAATATTAATAATTTTTTAAATGCTTTTATGATTTTAATTGACTAAAAAATAAAAATAAAAAAATAAAAATAAAAATTTATTATTATTTATAAAATATTTAATTTGATTTATTAGATTGGTTTCTTGTTCTAGTTATTAAAATTATATTTAATTTATTTACTACAAGAGATTATAGTGAAAGTTATTAACAAAATATGTAAATTAATTATAAAACTTATAATAGAAGCTATATGATAATTTTTATAAATTAATTTGGTTTTTCTTTAAAAAGGAAAATGAAAGTAACTAACGTACGATAAAAACTGTATGAATCAGTACGTTGATATATAACAAAAAGTTATATATATATTAGATACAGTGTAACGTATTTTAACCACTCAACTTAAATAAAAATTTATACTTTAATATTACATAAATAACAAATTAATTGGGTGCAAATAATAAGCATATAACAAGCATAGTCAACGTGCAACATACGTCATAAAAGAGACGAGTATAAAGTCCGAATATGGGACATTGGATTCCTAAAATGCCCTTATTAATTTTATGGATTGACAAAAATATCATTGAGGACTTTAATTTTATTGGTTGAAAATTTTATTTGTTGAAAAATAAAGTTTAATTTTGACTGGTTATATTAAATTTCCTATTTGAATTTTAATTCTGCCGTGAAGTTTAATCTAATTCTAAATAGGAAATTATTATTTTAAAATTTTAATTATTTTGTTTAATTTAACAAAAACAATGCGACACGTTCATTTGTATATTGTTATTATAAATTTTAATTCTTTGGCATGGGACGTTTGCTTGCTATGATTTGAATTTATTATTTTTATACTGTTGTTAGTAGTTTAACCCTACTCTAATTATGATTTCTATTTATTGTTTTTATTATATTAATATTAGAAATTTAATATTTTAATATATTAATATTATAAATTTAATCTATTAGAATATTATTTTAATATATTAATATTATAAATTTAATCCAATTTTAATTAAGAATTTGTTCTATCACACCACTTTATATATGTTTAGTTTTAATTGCTTTTAACTGTCAATATTTTGTTACTTTTGACTATCAAGAATTATTACATCAATTTTTTTGCTAATTTAGATTATTGAATTTGTAATCATGTCTTCTCCTCACGGTAAATATAATCTTAACTCTCTCTATTTATAAATTAATAGAATAGTTTTTATTTATATTTCTTATAATTTAGTAATCTCTTCTGACTCTTTGTTTGTATTTAGAGTTAATTTGGTTAATTGCATACATACATATATAGATATATTAGTGTTAAAAACATTGTTTAACTCGATATTTTTGGAACATAGAAATTAGAATCCTAAATTCTATTAGGAAATTTAATTTAATTCTAAGTAGAAAATTATCCAGTTTAGTTACATTTTAATATTAAAGCTTGAAATTAAATATTTAAAAAAATAGTTCAAAGAACGAATGAGAAATAAATATTTTATAACTGAGGCTGCAGAAAATTAATAATTTGCAGTGGATACTTTTTGGTAACAAAGAGGAAGAAAGAAAAAACAAATATCATGATTAATTAAAAATAAAGTCTAAAGGATACTTTTAAAAAGACTAGACTAACATCATTTTTTTTTTTTTTAATCTTCTGATGTTTTGGCGTTAATCAATTAAATTAACAAATTTAATTTCTGTAAATAATTTTTAATAGTACAACCAAATAATAAAACATAAGTTACAACATTAAAAAAGTATTTTTAAAGAAAATATTTTTAAGACCCCAAGTGGTGAAATAGGAATAGGATAGCATGAATCATTTCTTCTTTAACAAGAGGTTTCGAGTTAGAGCCCTGAATATGGAGTATCCCAGTGGGCTTCAGACACCGAATGATTAAAACAATATATTAAGACAAATATATATAGTATATGTATATATATATACTATATATATATATATATAATATATATATTATATATATATATTAGGCTCTTTTTTTAAATCTAATTTTTTAAATCTATTTTATTTAAATACTTTATAATGAAATATACAATATACATTGCCTAGCAAACATATATAGATATTGTAATTTTACATTCAACTACAAAATGTTAAAGAAAATTTATATGAAGATAAATTAATTTTTCTAATTGAACAAAAAATAGTATTTTGTAAAATTGAAAATAAAAATAAAAAATACAAATATAGAATAAAAATGTTGGTCATAAATAGAATAAAAAAAAAACAAATC